GTCTGTCTCCTCTTGCAGTGTCTGGGATGCTCACTGCCATTCCTCCTGCCCAAGCCATATTCCTTCCACCATCTGCTTGAATATCATCTAGGCAGTTTCATTCTCAAATCTTCCAAGATGTCTTTACACTCCATTGGATTTGTTTCTTGTCCGCTCTTTCATGTGAAGCTTTATCTTCTCTTGCAGATCTGAAGCATTTAGCCTACTTTAGGCCTTTTCCTGTGACCCTTGCACCTCTAACTCTATGTGGGTTAAGTCCTTGCTAATAATGGCTAGGAAGTGGAGGAGGCTGCACAGGGAACCTGGCTGGTTAGTCAGGCTGGTGGGATTTCCACCTTTCCCCCCAATAGACCCACGGATATCCACTAAGTCTCAGCTGCTCAGGGATCAGAAGAGGACCATGGTGAACTCAGAGGAGCAACACACACAGCTACAGTCTAGCTGGGAGGTCAGTGTGGATGCATACTGGCCATATTCCTGTTATCCCAGAGATGGCCACAGTATTAGGGGCACTAATACTACTGTACCCCGAGCAGACAGGGCTGCACTCATCATGTTCAACTGTGGCTTTGCACCTTTATATCTCTGTCTAGAGTGGGTGCTCTCAAAAGCATGTGTATCTCATTTATTTCTGGGTCTCAGTTTCCCACCTAATATCTAGTACATAGGGCCGCTAAATAGATGCTGTAGCAGTCTCACAGCATCCATGCTTTGTTTCAGTTAGCGACAGTCACTTGTGGTCTGATGATTGAATCACTTATTTCTGGTATCTTCCATTTAATAAATTTTCTGCTGAGTTGCATGATGAAATCTTGTGTCTTTCTGCTTCTTCCCTGGCTGGGAACATACCATTTTCCTTTGTCCAGAGAATCTATATTATGTAAGTCATCCCCTCATTACTCACTTGCTAGCTCTGTTGTCAGATTCTCTGTCTGGGTACCAAAGTGGTTTGGTACTATTCACTGTCTCAGGTATCCACTGGGATGGCAGTGGGTGGGGGGTGTTTTAGACTGTATCTTCTGTGTGTAATGGGGGGTTATAATACCTGAGTGTGCTGAATGAGTGGATGTGTCCAGTCATAAGAGCACAGAATGAAGAGGCAATTAGAAGATTAGGAGTAGATAGCTTTGGAACACGTGTGTGTGTGTGTGTGTGTGTGTGTGTGTGTGTGTGTGTGTGTAGGTGAATATGCACATGTACACACCTGCATGAGCACTGTGGGTTGAACTCAGGCATGGGGCATTCTAAGCATATGCTCTGCCGCTGAGCCACACCTCCAGTTTTGGAGCAGATATTTGAGTCTATGTGCTTGCTGAGTATTTGTGAGAGGGAGAGCATTCCTGAGAAACTACTAAGGCAGAGATGTGAGTGCTGTGCAGGGTCAAATAAACACACACACACACACACACACACACACAAACCCTCACCGGATATGGACTGACTTGAGTGGGGATAGGGCAAAGGAGAGTCAGGGAAATGAATCCCGCTCTTGTACCCCACAAGCTGCCATGTGTTCAGAAGATCGACTGATGATGGCATTGATCCGAACTTGCTCCTGTATATCATTCTATTTTTGCCACCCCTCCCTTCTCATTGCTGCTTGCAAACCCATCAAGCTGAAAACTTTAATACCCTTAAGAATCTCCTAGAGGGGTCTTGGACAACAAGCAGATCTTGGCTTCTTGAGCTGGTGTGAGGGCTAAGACTCTACTCTCCTAACTAGTTCCCAAGTGGCACCAAAGAGGGCAGCAAGGGGGTCATACTTGGGGAATTAGCCTTCAGGTGAGAAAGCCTGTAGCCTGAACTACACATTTTAAAGGCAACAGGATATTGCCTTCATTTGGATTATTCCTAACCTGACTTCTCCCAGCAGGGTAGGTAATTGAATGCTGTCCAATAAAATCTTCAGTGATAAATGGCACTTGGCAGAAATGCCAAAACCACAGGGCTTCACTTCCAAAAAAAAAAAAGCCCATCTTTGATTATTAGTGTCTGCAAACACCACTGAGTTTCTGCTTCCTGACCTCCCACTGGCTCCTAGGGGTGGCTTATCTCCTTGCAACACATGGCTGCTGGGGCCCCAGTGGGCTATGGGAGGCTGACATAGCCCCATCTCCTGGCCTTGATCCTGGAGGTCTGAGCTAGACCGAAGCTCTTTGAAGTCTGAATACTTAGCCAAATTCTAGAGCAAAGCAGAAAAATCTAGGATTATTTTTTGCATCAATTTACTATTAAACAGAAACTTCCAGACAAAGCATGAGGTCAGGTGAGATAGAAAAGCAGTTTCCTTCAGTTTCTGAGCCTCACCAGGCACCATAGACTGCATTAAGAAAAAAGGAAGAAGCCGGCTACGTCAAACTAAAAATTTCCCGCAAGCTGGTCTAGGCTGAAAAGTGTCTGCGGCATCCTGGTTGGTGCTGCAGACCGGGACTTGGCTGGGTGAGCCTGAGCAGAGCAGGCAGCCTGAGTGGTGCCAGCCTGGCTCTCTGGGCACACACCTGTGAGCTGTGCACGGTGGAAGGGGCCTCAGTGCCTGTGGGTGGTAGGGTGGGACTGGAGGAGACTCTCCTGAAATCCTTACTCCTGCACCTTGACTCTGGGCTGGGGCCACAGGAGACCCCGTGCTGGTGTCACAGAGGCACTGGGGACAGGACCTGTCACTCCCCTGCCTTCTCACAGCCCTGCCTCGAAGCTCCAGTTGGCTTTGGGTCTCATGCCCCTAGGGCAGCTTCAGGGACCTGGCTGATCTTCACTCTCCCACTCCACATTAGTTTGTTTTATATCTCCGGTTCCTCGCTCAATGCATTCATTCCTTCAGCCCCATCCCTGGGCAGGGAGTCACCTCCTGGTTAGTGAATGCAAGTCTCAGCCAGGCACTGTGAGCACAGCCCAGCCTGTCCCTTAACAGAATGCTCCTTTCCTGCATCAACTCTGCGGTTCCTTGCCCAGTGATAAACCATGTGGGGTCAGTGTCTTACAAAGAGCTGGGTTTGAATCCTGGCCCTGAAATGTCACATGTAAACCAGACAATCAGACTGTGATCCCTCCACGCACATAGATAAATACCTGTGATTGCTGAGAAAGAGCCTGTGGTTTGCTGGACTCTGACTGCTTCTTTACTTGGGGCCACTTTTCTACCCCAACTTGTTCTACTTGTAAAAAACAAAAACAAACAAAAACCCTGTATTTTTCCTTCCTTTGAAATAACAAGTTTCAAACATACACCAAAGCCAAGAGACCTGTACCCCAGACACCACCAAACATCTGGGACCCTCAGCGTCATCCCCCACGGGTGAGGGCCAGTTCTCTCTTTTGTGTTTTTCATGGAATATTGTGCCATTGTCTCATTTCCCTGTAACTCTCTCTAACAGGTGAGGGTGTTAGATACACAAAACCATTATTAGATACACAAAACCACTATGTTGGGGGTTAGGGTGGAGTGGGGTTTGAGGCACAGTTTCTCTGTGTGGCTTTGGCTGTCCTGGAATTCATTATGTAGACCGGGCTGGCCTCGAACTCAGAGATCTGCCTGCCTCTGCCTCCCAAGTCCTGGGATTAAAGGCGTGCACCACCACCTCTCCACCTGGAAAACCATGACTTTTATGACACCTGACAACATTAGAAGTTATTTGTTGATGTACTCAATGCCCAGTTTATATTTATCCCTTTCCCATCTAATAAAAATAATCCCTTTCCCACCGATTTGTTTGAGTCAGGGTCCCTCAAAGTTTGCCATTCTATTCCCTTTTAAAAATCTCTTAGGTGTTCGTGCGCCAGCCTTCTCTGATTAAATGGTAGGGCAAGGAGGAAATCATACTTCCTGAGAGCATCCTGCCCACTTCCCTGAGCCCTGACAAAGCAACACAGAACAACTCTTGGGGGAAGGGTGCATCTATCTATCTATCTATCTATCTATCTATCTATCTATCATCTATCTGTCTGTCTGTCTATCTATCTGTCACCTATCTATCTATCTGTCATCTATCATCTATCTATCTGTCATCTATCTGTCTGCCTGTCTATCTATCTATCTATCATCTATCTATCTATCATCTATCTGCCATCTATTTATCATCTATCTGTCTGTCTGTTTGTCTGTCTATCTATTTGTCATCTATCTATCATCTATCTATCTGTCATCTATCTGTCTGTCTGCCTGTCTATCTATCTATCATCTGTCTGTCTGTCTGTCTTGTCTGTCTATCTATCATCTATCTATCTATCTATCATCTATCTATCTATCTATCTGTCATCTATCTGTCTGTCTGCCTGTCTATCTATCTATCTATCATCTATCTATCTATCTATCTATCTATCTATCTATCTATCTATCTGTCATCTATCTGTCTGCCTGTCTATCTATCTATCTATCATCTATCTATCTATCTTTCTATCTATCATCTATGTGTGTGGAGGAGGAGCACGTGACACACAGGTGCCACTGCAGGTGTGTTGATGTCGGAGGACAACTTGCAGGTCTCCTTCCACCGGGTGAACTCCTGCAGACCAAACTCAGGAAGTCAGGTCATCAGGCTTGGCGGTGGCTGCACATTCACTGAACCATCTCACTGGCCTTGGGGATTTTTAAAATGATAAAAATGACTTCCTTACAGCCCTTTGAAATAAAAGGATGGCTCTTTCTTTTTTCCATTTTACTATTCCCTCCCTCCCTCCTCTTGAAAGGGGCTTGCTTTGCCACTTAGGCTAGCTTCGAACTCATGGCTACCCTGTCTCTGCTTCCCTATTGCTAGGATTACAGGCATGTGCCACCTCACCTGGATTTGTCTAACAAATCTCAAAATCTAAAAAAAAAAAAAAAAAAAAAAAATCACTTCAAGTGCAGCAGAAAGACAAGATTTAATTTAGTTCTGAATTTAGAGGGTAAACTTTGCTGGTAACTTAGTTTCTTCCAGGAATCTCTTTTATGCCCTCCCACCTGCTTTTTGAAATCCACCAACCACAATATTTACTCCATTCCCCTTTTTCTCCCTTTCCCTTACACACCACCCCCCTCTCTATTTAGCAGCCACATACAAGTCGGCCATATTAGAGAGATGGAAATAAAGCTTCCTTAATGTTGTATATGTCTTTGAAGTACATCCGTGCATTTTCTTTCTTAGCATCTAACCATTCCTCCCTTGTGGTCCTTGGTCCCTCAATCACCCTCTCCCATAGCCCACCCGCCTAACATCACAGTCTCTGAAAATGCACAGGGATGCCTGGCTACCTCGCCCTGCCTTCAGTCTCACGGGGCTCAGTCTGTTTTTCACTTTGGGTAAGTTAGAACCACATCTGCATGCTCCGAAGGGTCAGAACTGCAGCTACAACTGTAGGAGGAGGGGGCCGGGGGCAGGAGGGAAGGGAGACTGTGAGCGCTTCCCTCTGTGCCCTTGGGAAGAGGTGTGCTGGGGATCTGGGACTTCGCTGGGATGCAGGATGCTGGGCTACTTGGTCACAGAAATGTTGACTAGGGGATGAGTGTTGCTTGGGGATGGAAATGGTTAAAACAACCAAGAGGTGTTTTTTTTTTTTTTTCCCCTTTGGATTTCCCTGAAGTGGACCTATGCGGGGGTGGGGCAGAGCTAGGCTGCTCTGCAGTCTCTTCAAGGATTTTTCTTTTCACTTTATTATTACTATTATTATATTATTAGTATAATTTTCACTTTTCAGATGCTTCTGATGAGAGCTCATAGGAGTTGCTGGCTTATTTTAAGAGTCTCTTTTGTGAACCCTGTTCCCTGGAATCCGGTGCATTTAAAGGGTTAGGAGAGAGTTGGGGGCAGGAAGTGGAGTCTGTCCCACCAGTTTGTTGGGTGAATGTGGGAGGAATTGGGGATGAGGCTTGAGGATGGGCTCTGGGGTGGGGGGGCGGGGATACCAGAGAAGCTGCTGATGGAACAGGCACCCCTGGTGTGGACCAGATGGGATGGAGGAGAGGTTGGGTTTCCAAGATCCAGAAAAGAAGGAGAAAAATATAGATGGAACCTATGGATGAACAAGGTGTGGCCCTCTAAAACCAGTCTCAGAACAGTGCATCTGAGCCTTGCGGGCCACCCTGCCTATGGCCCTACAGTCTATTTCATATTTGAACACCCAGAGGCAGGCGGTGGGCTAGGATTTGTAAGCCTACCACACCCCCTCCCATGAAATAAGGACCTACTATGTAGCCCTGGCTGGTCTCGAACTTTCTGTGATTCTCCTGCCTCTGTCTCCTTCTCTGAATGCTGGGATTACAGACAAGTGCCACCATGCTGGGCTCTAAACCTGCTTTATAGACAGGTGTATTCTTGTCCTTAAAACCTCCTCAGCAGAGCCTAAGGGTCAAGTTCAAGGATGGTAGGTGGGAATATTCCCCATCACAAACCCCTCTCTCTCTTTCTCTCTCTCTGATAGCCTGCAGGATAAGGCTCTAATATCTTCCTTGTGAAATTGGACCTAAGTTTAAAACTATCCTGGTTCTTTGCTTCATAACCATGGGCAAGATGCTACCCACCCTGAGTGGGTGTCACTCTTCTATGAGTGACTGGAGACAGTCTCTTGCTTGGTAAACTTGCAACCCTAACATGGCATATCTTGTTTAGCCCTCACAGCATTTACCCGAGGTAGACACTATGATGCTATTCATGTCCCAGGGTGGAAACAGAGGCATGGAGAAGTAACTCATCCAGTCAGGACATGTGACTGGCATCAGGAAGCTGGAGATTTGAACTCCCACATGACTGACTTGGCCCGGTCTCTCTAACACTGAGTTCTACTACCCCCAGCGTCCAGGAAACAGTACTGCTCTGTTAGCATTAGTTGATGGAAGAATCTCAAGTGCAGGTTAAAGAGGTGGGTGAGTGGCCTGTACCCACCTCCCAACCCCCAAAAGCCAGATCTGGACTCCAGAGTCTCATCTCAGGAGTTAGCCACAGCCTCAAGGCAGATGGAGGCCATCTACGACAGCCATAGCTAAGTCAACAAGGCCAGGGGCTGTGGCAACAGGACCAGCCAACCGGGGCTTGAGGGAGATGGTGCCATGGATGAAGGGGTCTTCGCATCAAGGCTGTAAGGAGCAGTGGGGAGGAGTGGATAGAGACCAGTGGGGAGGCATGCCTCTGCCAGTCCATACTCTAGGCAATGGAACTTGGGTGGCTATGGTAGCTTCGATCACCGAGATGGAGGGATGCCACGGATGTTAGGAGGGGCAGTGTATCAGAGGTGGGACATGTGGGGATAACTGTAAAGGTGGCAAAAAGCTATTCATGTGATAGAAGTTCCACTGTGTTTCTCAAGACTGTCCCTTCTTCAGCCATTGGCCTGGTCATCAAAGATTATATTAGAGGGAGCACAGAGAGTGAAGAGTGGTCCTCACTCAGTCTGAGCACAAATATTTACAGCTAAAGGTGAGACCTAGATGTGGAAGAGATTGCCTCTTCCCCACCTGCAGCCCCAATTTAATTGGGCACCTAATAGTGCTATCTGCCTCTCTGGATAAGGAGTTCCCAAGGGCATCTTGAGAGACACAGGTACATAATAGCAACTAAGCATTGTCTGTGCTGTAAGAATGTCAAGTATAACGATAAGGCTAGAAGTCACCTTTCACTAACAGCTGTGTGTCAGCTTTGCACATAGAGCATGTCACTTAATTGTCACAATAGCCTCGGTATTCAGTGTCCGTTCCCTGCATCACAGATGAGGACACTGCAGCATGGGGAGGTTAAGGCTCTTGTCTCACATCGTATCAGGATCTCTAGAGTCCCCAGTCTTGACTGCTCCACCACACAGCCCAAGTCACTGGAGGAAATAGGAACCTGGCTGGGGAGAGAACCTGACACCACGGAAGGTGTCACCTAAGCTGTGTCTTATGAATGGGGTTTATGTGGAAGAGCTCCAGGGACAGGGACAAAAAAAACTTCCCAACCTAAAGCAAAAACTTAACAAGAGTCTGGTGGAGGGGAAGGAAGAGGAAACTCAGTGCCCGAGTCACAGGAATCACACGGACAGATGGGATCTGGCAGGATCAGGCTGTGGTGTGCAGCTGGGGCCATCTGGGAGCCACACCCAGTTGCCAGAAATCAGCCCTAAAAGCCTCAGGAAGCCATGGGAGTATTGGAGGTCGGGAACATGAGTGCAGCTTGGTGCTGGCTGCCTGGGCAGGAGGGTCTGAGTGCAAAGGCAGGAAGGGTGATGGGGTTAGATGTCACACTTGACTCTGGGCAGTTTCTCTTCCTCCTCTTTCTTCTCCTCCCCCCTTTTTTCTTTTTCTCAAGAATAAAACAAACTTATAGACTGCTTTAGGGCTAGAAGGAGGAGTAAAGGGAATTTACTTCCAGTCTTTAGGAAAGACAGTGTTTGGCAGATGAGCCCAGTTTTGGGGTCTCTGCAGGGTGGCCCAGGGAGAGACTGTTGATGGCCAGGGCCTGAATGACCCAGTTGGGTCAAGTCCTGGGTTGTCAAACCCTTACACTTCTCATCACTTCCTTTTTGCAGGACGGGAATCATAAGACCTAAACCTCAGATCTGGGCCCCAAACAGGACTTAGGAGAGTCATGGATTCCCACTGTGGAGTTCCTTCACAGAACCCTTCCTGCCAGGATCCTGCCTGGAGCTACCATGTATCCCTTAGGACACCTTGGAATGACAATAATGTCCCCACCCAGGCTACTCCTTACCTCAGCCCTGTCTGGAACCAGGCAGTGTGGACTCAGGTTCTAGTTTTATCACATCCTGGCTGTGAACTTGGGCTAGCCACTGGGTTTCTTTGTGCTCCATTTCTTCTGAAAGTGATGGGTGATAGATAATGCTTGCTGGTTGCACGCACTCAGCAAGGTAGCTATAGAATGCCGAGATGGAGGCAGCGCTGTGAGTGGTTACGATGGAAGGCCTGTCGGTGGGCCTGGACCCATCTACTTTCCAGAAGCACCAGGCTCTGCTCAGCTCTGACCTTGACCAATTCGTCCCTGAACTGACCTCACAGCCTGGATCCCCTGAGATTTTCGTGAGGTCTTGGGCTGATTCTTGGACCAGCAGGTGAGAGCCATTTTCCTGGCTTCAGCTTGTCCCTGTTCTCAGAGTGTCTCCAAGCCCCTCTTTCCTCACAGTAAAAGGATAGCACTTGATCTACAACCCTGGAGGTTCCCCTAGGTCTGTCTTCCTTTAGTTTGGGGCCCCTTCCCAGCTTACTTCTCTGCTGGTGGGACTTGACAGTTGACCTCTACGGCCACTAGAGGGCACACGAATTCCATCTGGCGCCTCTAGCAGGGCACATGCAGTGAGAACCCGCATTGCACCTTTCCAGATCTCCTGGTCCCAGCCTGAAAAAAAAAAAAAAAAAAAAAAAAAAACTCCTCTGACTTGGGACAACTTTGCCACCTGATATAGCAGCATGCTGGCTCCTTCTAGAGGAGCTGATGAAGGGAGATGTCAATCAGACATTCAAGTTCAACTGCTGGGGTAGAACAGGGTGGAGAGGGTGGACTTTGCAGAGCCAGTTAGTTTCAGAGCATTTGGTGGGGGTGGCCCGTGGAAGGTGGAAGCCCTTTCATGTGAGGGGCTGGAGAGGTTGGGATGCCTAGCACCGGAGGTAAACTCAGGACAAACCTTCATCAGTTCTTTTCCTCAGATTTCTCAGCCTCTGCAGCGTGGGGGCGGTGTTAATATTTTCTGCACACCTCCTCCTTGCCTGGCACTGGCTCAGGTACTTTTAGACTCAATATGAAGGTGCAAGAGCCAGGAGCTGGGCTCTGCCCCTCCCAGGAGGGGCCGCATCAGCTCCCCCAGTTACTGGTCCCCGTGAGCATTCTGGTGCTCGCTTAAGAGTCATTGGCCCTGCAGGTGAGGACCATAGGTGTGCCTCTACCCAGGCTTTGGAGGGACCTTCCGGGCCAGCAGTCTGGAGAACCTCCTGTCCTTAAGTTCTGAGCTTTGTGGGATGGACTGAGTGGAAGGGTGGGCTTAGCAGTGAGGCTTGCAGGCTGCAGTGCTTCTGCTTCCGGGGGTGGGGCCAGCAGCTGTGTGACAGTTTGAGACCAGGATCCCTGCAGCCTTGCTCCTTAGTGAGATTTGGGGGGAAGTCGAAGGGGGTCAGTCTCCTCAGGTCTAGAGACACCCCCTGAAACTCTGCACACGCTCTGTCCCCTTTCTGTCCCCAAAGCAGAACTTAAGGAGAATGAGGTTAATAGCAGGAGCCATTTGCTGAACACCTAGTACTTATTTTAGTCATGTAACCACCAGCGACAGTGTGATGAGCTAGGTTTTCTGGAGGAGGAGGAGAAGGCCTGGGGAGGTGAAGGAGTCTGCCTAGGCTTCTTACGGTTGACTGAGGCCAGAGCTGGGATGGAATCCAAGTGGAATCAAGGTGTGTATGTGTGTATGGGGTGGGGGGCACATGTTTTTGTCCATATCTGTAACAGTAATTTTCAGCTAGCTGGCATCTCTGTTGACCACACCCTCCCCTTAAACTCCCCAGAATCATTCTGACTCCTGTGTTCTAGCCCCTTGGCCTGGTCCTTGCCCAACTCTGACCTCAGGTTTTACCATGCCCTGTCTTGTTCTTTCTCAGATGTGTGAAGGTCATCCCAGCCAAGGAAATGTGGCCCTTGATATTCCTAAGTGGCTCATCCCTTCTCTTGAGTTAGATACTTCTGAGTGCCATTCTCTCAGGGCCCTGTTCCCTGGCCACTCTGAATAGAACAACCCCCCTCTGCCATACTTTAATCCTTACAGTCCACGTGGTGTAATGCTCCAGACATCCACATTCTTTTTACTGCTGTTGTTGCTATTTGCTCCCTTGCCAGAATACAAGTCCCACAATGCAGTGACTCTGCCTCATACTAGCACCTCCCAGGACCTGAGACTAAACACCTGGCACACAGCAGATAATTTGCATATATTTAGTAGGATGAATGAGAAAGGGCTGGGAATGTGACTCAGTTGGTAAAGGGCTTGCCTACCATGCCTGAAGTCTTGTATTCAATCTCCAGCAGTGAATAAATTGGGTCGGGTGCCTGCACCCCTCGAATCCAAGCACTCAGGAACTGCAGGTGGGCAAGTCAGAAGTTAGTTCCAGGACAGCCTCGGTTATAAAAGGAGGCCTGCCAGCCACACCTCTGTCCCAAACCCTGCAAAAAAACAAAACAATACACTAACAACAAACCTGAAACAAACAAACAAAAACAAAACAAAACCAGAAAAATCACAAAATAAAAAATGAAAATTAATGAGTGACTGATGCTGAATGTCACTGCCATGCACCCTGCCCTGTTAATACTAAATTCATTTTTTAGGATGGCATAGGATCCTGGAATTAAGGTCAGCTCTAATCTGAGGCAGCCTGAGTCCACCTGAGGAGGTGTTGCTACACCTTGGAAATGCCTGTCTCTGTAATGCTGGGCCCTGGACAGCTCCCCTGTCTCCCTTAAGCTCTGCTTTGCTTATGGTACCCCAGTGGCATGTTTCAGGTTGCAGCACCCAGGCCCTGATCTGAGTCTAGTGCCTCATACAGGACTTCAAAGACATTTCTGTTTCCACCCTGCCACCTGCCAACCTGAACCTTTTTTTTTTTTTTTTTTTTTTTTGCCATGATATTTCCAGGCTGACATTTCCCAAAGGAGGGATTATCCCCTAGGTCAATCAGCAGGTCCTTGGAATGACACCTTATCTCATGGGACACCCCCTTCCTGCCCTCCTCTACCCTTTTCTTGTCTGTGAGACCCTGGGGATGGTGAGAGGCCTGTGCTGGGCTAGGCAAGAGGGAGGTCTGCCCCACAGGGACACTGATGCTTCCTTTGCAGGGTTTAGGCACAGCAAAGATGATCAGAAGTGTCTGGAGAACAAGGGGAAACCGAGGCAAGCCAAGTGAAGCCTTTTGCTCAGCAGGGAAATGGCATTAGGATAGGTAGAGACAAGTAGGGTGTCTGCCCACAGTGACCCTAGAAAAGGCTAAGGCCATTTGGCTGTCCGTGGCCTGGTAGACCATTTGATGGCTCTCCCGCACCTGTTCTGTCCCCTCTCCTCCTACGAACCACATCTGGTGTCCCTCACGTGCTTTGCCTTCCTAACAGCAGCCCTAACTCTGCTCTGCCTCTTTCCATCTACTCCCCACTGGCTATAGAAGAGTTGCAGCCCCCAGCCCCCCCACACCTGTCACTCAGCATCCTCATCAGATTGTGTTTTTTCTGCCACAGTGCCCCCAGGGCGGAGCATGGAAGTCACAGTTCCCACCACTCTCAGTGTCCTCAATGGGTCCGACACCCGCCTGCCCTGTACCTTCAACTCCTGCTACACCGTGAACCACAAGCAGTTCTCTCTAAACTGGACTTACCAGGAATGTAGCAATTGCTCGGAGGAGATGGTAAGTCCCAGTGGAGGAGGAGTGGAGGGAAGTCAGAGCCTCAAAGCATGGAGCCCACCATCCCTATCCCTATGTCTACACTGGACCAGGGCCCCAGAAGACTCTGGGTAGGCTGTCTCACCCAGAGACCATGATGTCACCACAACTGGATGGCCCTTTTGAGGCTGACCCCCTTTCTTCCCAGGTTAAAAAAGACGAGTGGGAAGCGGGTGTGTCCCCATGACCCTCACACCCCCTTGCTTACCCAGCATTCCATGCTATCTTCCCACACCAGTTCCTTCAGTTCCGAATGAAGATCATTAACCTGAAGCTGGAGCGGTTCGGAGACCGCGTAGAGTTCTCGGGGAACCCAAGTAAGTATGACGTGTCAGTGACGCTAAAAAATGTGCAGCTGGAAGATGAAGGCATCTACAACTGCTATGTCACCAACCCACCGGACCGCCACCGTGGCCATGGCAAGATCTACCTGCAGGTCCTTCTGGAAGGTGAGGGTGTGAAAGAGATACTGACCCTTCTCCTCAGCTTAGCTCAAGGCTCTTCACGGAGCCTGGGGCTCCATCTCATTTTCAGGTGCTTGTGCTGCTGGGAGGCATCCATGCCTTCCCTCTGGTCCTGAGGGAACAAGTCAATCCTGATCATAACCCTGAGTAATAACAGAAGTGTTCATAGGCATTAGCTCTTTTCATCCACAGAACCCAAGGAGAGAGGAGCTATTATACCCATTGTATGGATGAGGAAACTGGGGTTCATGAGCATACATTTCTTAAGATCATACAATTCCTAACTCCTACAATCAAACTTGGGTCTGATCTCAAAGTCCAGGATCTTAAATATCCGTTCTGGGGGTGGAGGGGCTTGGAGGGAGGGATGCTTAGAGGCCAATGGTCTAGGTTGTTTTGAGTTAGATCAGGTCCCCTCACATTTTGGGGAGCAGGGGAGACAGGGCATGTTCCTCCCAGCTCCATGATTCTGTTTCCTTTTCCTCAGTGCCCCCAGAGCGGGACTCCACCGTGGCGGTCATCGTGGGTGCCTCAGTGGGGGGCTTCCTGGCTGTAGTCATCTTGGTGCTGATGGTGGTTAAGTGTGTGAGGAGGAAAAAGGAGCAGAAGCTGAGCACAGATGACCTGAAGACCGAGGAGGAGGGCAAGACGGACGGTGAGGGCAACTTGGAAGACGGTGCCAAGTAGCTGGCCACCCGCCCAGAAGCCCCTCCCTGTGCCCTGTCTCCTTTCACTCTCTGCCCTGTACAGTGTGACCCTGCCTGCTCTCTCTCGGTGTGCTTCTCCCTAATAGAACCCCAGGGTCCACCTGGGGCCTCACTTCCCATTCCTCACCCCACTCCCCATACCAAGGGTGACCTCCCTCCCTTCCACCTGAAAACTGCCTTGGTATCTGACATGTGCGAGCCCTGGGAAGAGCAGAGAAGGGCTCTGGCATGTCAGTATCTGTGGAAGAAAGACCATGTGCATGGTCCCAAAGACCGATGGGGGAGGGAAGGCAGTAGAGGAAGAGGCTGGCTGCCCATCTTGTCTGGGTTTGGTCTGGTGGTGGTTTAAACTGTGGGGGGATAGCAGTGTGTGTGGGGGGGTTGTGTGTGGGGTGTCCTGTGCTGACCAGAGGCCCCATGGGAAAGACTCATGGTGGCTTTGCTGTGTCCCTCTGGCTACTCCCAGCACAGAACAGCCATCAGGCTGGGAATGAAGGTAGGGTCCTACCATCTGTGGGGGCAATTTTTTAAAGGGATGACCGGGCATTTCAAGGGCACTCAAGGAAAGCTAGGGCTGAGGCATTCCTGGACACAAGCCTTGGCCCAGAGAACTCTGTTCTGGCCTCCTTTTTATCATTAACTGACCCTGGGGAGGCTCTAGCTCACTGTTGACTACTGCTGTCTTGGGGATGCTGGCAGGAGCGCTGAAAAGGGAGCATCAAGCAGGGCCATACCCCGCCCTAGGGACCCCCAGCAGGAGACCTGTGCCACCGCAAATGCATTTAGCTGCCTTCTCTAACAAAATGATCACCTTGGTCTTAACCAGTAGCTGCCAAGGCTCAGAACTCTGTGCGTGTTGGGGGTGGGGTGGGTGTAGAGGGCAACTTCCTGCAGGGCTTCCGGGCATCAGCTGGGGGGTTTCTAGTTGCCCTTGGCAGGGTGTCTGTCTGACTGTCAGCAAGGAAGAGAAGGCAGGAGGGAAATGAGAGAGGACGCGGGTAGAGCCTGAACCCTGCCCCAGAACTCACTCCCTTTGTAGGGGAGAAAGTCAACTTTCACTGCCGCTTTACTATCATCATAAGGAACTTATTTAAGTCTAGAGCCGGGGAGAAAGGCAGGGTAGAAACTGCTAACGGAGAGCACGGTGTTGGGAGGGGCTCAGAGGAGAACAAGCCCAGAGCCTCCTACAGCTAGGAAGACAGCAGTGACTGATCCAAGCTGGAGGTCTGCCCAATTCTGGCTCCTTGGTCCCCAGTTAGAATAAACAGAGCTTCCTGATGGGACAGCCTCAAGTTTAGAAGGTGTGTGTGTGTGTGTGTGTGTGTGTGTGTGTGTGTGTGTGGTGGGGTCATCTAGCCCTGCTTCCCTCCCAGGAACTCAGTCCCTACAAGCTCAGGGAGTTAGCAGTCCAGGGTAGGGGATGAGTGTGGTGGAGATAGGACCATGAAAGTCTCAGGGACCAATCCTTGCCTCTGCTTATGAGATAGCCAACTAGAAGATGGGAGGTTCTGCTTAATTCACTTCAACAACCATTTATTGAGCGTCTGCTCAATGCCAGGCACTGTGCTGGGTGCCAGGGGTGCATTTAAAGCCATAATAGAGCCAGGGACTGCTAGATCTGCACTGTAGGAGCAAGATTAATTTTTCTTGGTGCATCTACTTCCACCTTTGTCGAGGCTGCTTCCACGAAAGAGTAGGGGGAGAAGGAAGTGGCTCTTGGATCTGGGGCGTGGGACAGTGAGAGTGCGAGGGACGAGGGGAAGGCACCACTGGGGCTGGGGCAGAGGTCAGGTAGGCTGGGCATGGAGTAGGGGATGGGTAGCCAGCCAGAGAACACCCGGCAAGGTGAATCGAACCCTTCTGGAAGTTCTAAACTCTTTGGCTCAGTACCTAACTGCCAATCAACACACTGCCAACGGGAGTGGGCTAAGCCACCAGGATGCCTGGAGCAGGTGGACACTGCCTATCCTCCGAGCCAGCCAGCTAGGAGTGGAGACGTGAGTGGTGGACGCCTCAAACCAGCTGAAACCAAAAAGGTGGTGGTATTGACGTCTGTGGCTTGGAGTAGTCAGCTCTTGTCACTTCGCACGCACCCTCTTCTCTCAGCGTGCACCGACAGGACTTTGCTCACACCAAGTCTCCTAACATTTAGTTGGGCTACTTGTGAGATTCTTTGAGGGTTATTCTAAGAAGCTGGGGTCTCTTGGAGTCTTTTTCTTTTCTGTCCCTGACAGAGTGGGGTCCAGGAAGAGCAATGCCCACCTCTGGACCCCACAGGCTGGGTCAGGAGTCGTTTCTGCCCCAGGAACTTGCCCTGGCATTCACTTTCTTCTGGAGCTGCTTTAGAGTCTCTTCCAGGGGCTTTGGGCTGCGAGGTCAGGAGCAAACCAGGCTTCTGTGAGGCGAGGTGGGAAATGGTGAGATGTTTCTACAGGAGCCATTGTTCAATCTTGCTTCCTGGCTTAGGCCAGCAAACCCCTGTCTTGCTGCAGTGGGAGCTCTGGGCTCCACTTCTGCCTGCATGCCCCCCATCACTGTGCTTTCAACTTGTCTTGCCTCTCCCGCCCTCCCAGAACCCCTGCCACACGTCCCATCTGCCTCTCCCTCCTAATTAAGGGCCACTGCAAAGAAAGACGGGCTGGTTAACCCAGGGGATTTAGCTTATGAGAACAAAGCACAATTTTTCAGGACTGAAAATGCCTTGAGGTGCCTTGGAACTGGCTTTGGAAATGGCTCTCTGCCCCTCCAGCAATGTACTCACCATCAGTTATTCCCAGTTTATAAAAAGGAACAGCTGATTGGGTCTGTGTTGGCCTGCGAGTCTCCTTGGGAAAGTTGTGCTGCTAAATATTTGCAGGAGGCAGACAGGTGGAAATCCTGGCTAGGTCCAAAGAAGTTAGTCCCAGGTCATAGGAACGAATGGCTTGGTGCAGTTGGAACGGGTGACAAATCAAGAAAACTTTCTTCCTATATGTCTTAAGGATAGACGGCCTTGCTGTGCCTCTTGCTGATGTCTTCCTTTATTGAAGCTTGCTGATGCGATTGTACATAGCCTTTCTATATAGATATAGATATATTATATATGCATATATAAAACATCTCACTATGCCCACCCCAAAAGGGGTATAATCACATCTCAGTGTTCCCGAGTAGATTCACCAAAGGTTCTTTATGGCATGTTCTTCATGCTTTTTTTTTTTTGGGAGAACCCAGCTGCATAGCAAACGCTTATGCATGCCTAGGTTCCACACGCTGTTTGGTGGTTGGATGGAGTGGATGGGAGGGGAGAGAAGCTTAAATAAATGGTCTTCTGGGGTCTGACTGCTGGGGGCAGGCTGAGTTTCTTTAGCAGTTTGTCTGGTTGCTTGGGTCTGTTGGCTGCAATAAACACACTGTCTCCCCTGAACATCTCTCTGTTGTGGTGTCTGTTTTCCAGGGTACAGATGGGCAGGGGAAGGCTTTGCGGGAGGCCTGATGGGAAATTCTGGTGCTCCTTGGCCAGGACACCATGCATCCTGAAAGGAAAAATGAAGCCTATTTGTTCCACTCTTGTTTTTCATCTGCTTGTCCTTCCAGACCCTGGAGGACTCTGTCCTCCACAGTAAGCACCCTGAGACAGGTGGGTGCAGCTTCAGTGGGGAGGGTGGCTGCTGGGAAGTCTGGCGGCCTCTGTCTGCATTTGTATCACTGTATCCTATTTACATAGCTCAGTGGCTAAACGTGCCTTTCCAGGAAAGCCCAACACCTACCTGAGTTACCTCCCTGGGACCCCAATGATAGGAAAGAACCAATTCCTGCATATTAAACACACTGCATGTAAACACACACACACTAAATGTATAAACAATATTCAAGATAAAGGTCATCATTTTGTCTAGGAGCTTAAACTTTCTGAATGTCAAGGGAAATCTGTATTAGGTCATTTTTCTCTATCATTTCTGCCTGTTCTCTGACGATTCAGAGACCCTTCTTGCGGTTAGTGGTCAGGAATATTCCAGGAAGAGCTCGGACTAGTAGCCCTAATGATTGTGATGACCCAGATGTGGCCTGGGTGAGGCACTAGGAAGGGAGCTTGGTGTTAAGCAAGGATGGTGTGTGGCTAGCGTTAGCAGAATCAGAAGACCTTGGGGAAGGAGGGTGCCTATTCCCTGGAGCCTTGTCTGAGGGCAGAAGGTCAGAGAGGGTGTCTTCATACTCAACAGAAAGAGAAACTGAGGCACTAGGCTGAGTAGAAGAGACACTAGGGAGTCTATCTGGTTTCTTCAGGGAAGACCCAGGCCCCTGTCGCCCAGTCATGTCACCATCATTCTCCCCACCCCCTTTTTTCTTTCTAATAATAACATTTGGAAAGTCTGGACTGGGCCTGATTTCTAGGAGGTGGGGATTCAGGCATTTATCCTAGTTTGATGTCTTTGACCTGCTTGATCTTGGATAGGATAGTTTTGATTGCAGATCAAATTGCTTTGGGGGGGGGGAAGACTTCCCCTCATCCTACCTCCTACTCTGATTGGTCAGGTCACTGGCTTTTTTAATTCCTCAGCCAGCTGAGAGGACCACACCTCACAGAGGAAGTCACTGTGGTACAGGAGTCTGGACCATAGGAATGGAACAAGCAAGTAGATGTTTACGATCCTTGGAGATGGGAGGCCCTTGAAAAATCTACAGCCAAATCTCTTCAATGTCCTAAAGGGGAAACTGAGGACAGAATCTACTTAAGGCACCATGTTGAATCAAGAACAGAGACGGTCTTGTAGTGGGGTCAAAAACTGCATTCTTCCCCTGCTATGGCTTCCATCTAGTGCTGGACCAGCTCAACACAGCAGCCCATGACAGCCCAGCTTCTGCCCTGTCCAGAATAGTGACTTGTGTCAGTATAGAAGGGGCTCATACCTCCTTCAAGGCTCAATTTTCAAAGTTGAAGACCAGAGAGGGGAAGTCACAGGGTTGGCTAATGGCAGAGGCAAGAGTAGAACCCAGGTCTTTCTTTCCCAAGCTGACCTGATATCCACTTTTCTTTAGTTCTACTTCTGACTC